ATACCTGCTACTCAGAGATACAAGTCTGTGAGTAGTTCTTTTCCAGCCTTTACTTGGCATCACTCTGGTGGAAGGCCTCAGAAATGAGTCTGGGGGCACTTTGGGGGTTTTTGATGGTTTATGATCTCTTTTCAAATGGCTGTTGGGCTGTTTCTCATGCCAGTGTAGTTGGGTCAGTTTTGCCTTATCAGAAGGGATGAATACCTTCAGACCTAAGTGTGAATGTCCTGATACCTTCCCCGGGATGGGGAGAGGAGTTTTTGCACCTGAGACAGTTGTGTGAGAGAGGAAACTGACAAGATAAAAAGCCTTATCCCACCTTGAAAGATCTGCTTCTTATCGGCCTTTTCCTTTGACTGGCTCGAAAACCAGCCAGTTGCTAAACAAAGGTTGGTTTGATGCTGTCATCCTTGGGTGATGGTGATGGGTGTACATGTCCATGCTCTCTGCCCCTGAGCTGTTCTTATGTACATCAGAGGTTTTGTCACCACACCCAAAACTCTCCTCTGCTTGGGCAGGAGAGTGCAAACTTAGCATCAGCAAATCACCCCATGCTTTTGCAAGTGGCAGATTGTTTGACACATTGACCTTTAGCAGTTCAGTCTCCAGCAGATGTGGAGCAAGATGGGCCATAGTTTGTTTTCTGGACTCCTGTACAGTGAAGGGAAGTGGCTTGTTTTGGTGTGATTTGTGAACAGTAGTAAGTTTGCATACAATGATGACATGAGAAACAAGACAAGCAGAAAATGATATAGGAATTGGTGGGTTCTTAACTTGATGCTGTTTAGGAATAAATAAAAAAAATCAAAACAAACCCCAAATAGTAGCTGTCACTTGGAACCAGTTGGCTTGAGAAGTAGAATTCTGAAATATTTCTGTTTCACCACGCACAGTTACTGTTTAAAGGGAAGTTTTACGTGGTGGATATTTGGAATCTTGCCTTAATCTTAATCATGCCTTTTCTTCAACAGCTACTGTGGAGTGAAATCGAATCTTTAATGCAAGTATAACTTGAACTTGCTATCAACATGTTTTTCTCTATGTCCACATGCACATCTGCCATGGCAGTAATTTTGTGATTGTTTTAGAGCCATTCAGAGCTACCTGGAAATAGGAAGTGTTTGCTGAAGACTGAAGCAGGCACACAGAGGTGCTAATAGTTTACAGTATCCCTTCCTCACTGCAGAATTTTGTCTCATCTGTTAGATCAGTAGACTTTTTTTTTTTGCTGTTTTTAATAAAAATTAAGGAAAAGCTCGTATCTCTCTTATGCTGTCATTTGTTTGTTTATATTGAATGTCTGGGCCTTTTTAGCAGAATATGATTGATTCAAAACTGAGTGCAGTTAAGATTCCTGGACAGCTCCTTTTCTTACTGACTGCTCTGCTAGGTCTCAGAGGTTGGAATGCTATTTGACATATGCTGGCTGTGAAATAAACTTGCTTAAGTGACATTTCCAAGGGAAAAGCCTAATACCCCCATGATTTCAGAATAGGTGCTTTGAACAGGGTAGAAATTTTGTTTCAGAAATCTGCTTTTTACTAACTCTGAATATTCATGTTGGAAAAATTGCAGTTTATTTGCTCAACAGGACCTTCAGTCTGGGCATTCTGCAACAAGATGTGAAAGCACATTTTGCTGGTGACAGTTCTTCATTTCATCTCTTTTTAACAGACCATAGACAGGAGACCTAATTCAAGTGAACTGAGGGAAAGTACTGAGGATAGAGGAGCTTAGGATAGGGAAGATGATTCAAAGAAATCAACTCAGCAGCATGATACTGTTAAGCAGCATTCCATCAATGATGGTGCTGGGTGCGTGGGGGATTGCTCCTCCAAACACACACCCCCTGGCTCCAAATGGACTGTTTTTATTTTCACAGATCATGCATATTCATTAGATTTCTAGAAACTCATGCATATATGCTAATGATTTCCTAGAAATCATCAGAATATCCCTGCCCTCCTTGCACCTGCACAGTTAATTGAGGTGGTTGTTCTTGGGGGTTCGCTGTGACCTGCAGTGGTCATTCCATAGTCTTTGTCACTTGTCTGCTGGATGACCTCTCCTGCTGGGCAGATGCACACCCCTTTTGGTCATCTTTCCAAACCTCAGAGCGGGTTCTAACTGCTGTTGGCACCTCATTTTCTTGGAGGAATATATTATCAATCCCATTCAGCCTTGTGCTTATCTTCCTCACTTGGTAGAGACACTAAGAGTTGCAATTTATCTTCACTTGTGCAGACATTACAAATTCCTAAGAGCTTAGTTTTTGCAAAAGTAACAGACAGGTCTTGAGCAGAAACTTGCAGCTACAACTACTGTTGAAAGTATGGCTAACATCTGTTACAACTATAGTTGCAAATATGAGTCTCCACCCCAGCTCCTTATTCAAAGTTATGTCATTAATCATAGGCTAAGGTTTACTTAGCCTTTCAAAGATCAAGACAATGATTCTACCTGGGACCAGAATGTGGAAACTGGATCCCTTTGTGGTGCCTGTCATATGATTGTGCTGACAGCCTCTTTAGGGTAATTCTTAGTTGACACATGGCTTAGTTTGCTTCTAACCCCAATTTGAATGTGTCTGATATTGCATGCTACATTAGTCAAGAAGTATTTTATAAAACAACTGTTAAAGTAATTTTTTTTTTCTCTTTTCCCCTACTGTAGCACACATCCACTGTGAGGAAGTGTTTGGCGTCATCGGAGAAAATTTTAGTTTTCCAGTAAAAATAAACCAAAGAATAGAGGAAATGACTTGGAAGAAAAACAAGGATAAAGTAGCTGAATGGGAAAGGCAAAAAAACACGACATATTATCTTTCTCTCCGTGGCAGAAGCTTGCTTAAGGACAATGGATGTTTGACTATATTGAACTTGGAAAAGAGTGATATTGGCACATATGAGTTACACCACAGGGATGCTAAGCAAGATCATTATTTAACCTTCATACTTGATGTGTTAGGTAAGTAGTGGAAGAACTGCATGAGGAATGTGCACCACTTTATTCACTTAAAAAAGGCTGGAAATGGGATTGTTTATTTGTCAGGGAAGCGAACAGAAACAGAAGGGCTGTTCTTTGGCTCTATTGTTAAGTTGCTTAGGGACTTGGAACAAATTTTCAAAGGTGGCATCTGTGTGCTGGTCATTACTCACCTTGGAATGACTGTACTTGCAGGCAGACAACCAAACTCTTTGAGTAAGCTGACCAAATTATCTCAGGCATTATGTATCTATTAAAGATGCTGCTGCAAGCATGTTATACATGCTCAAATATTCGTGGCATCATGATGTGCCACAGGATCTCTTCAGCTTCACTAGTAATCTGGGAAATATATTTGCCCAGTGTGTTATATTAGTCCTATTGACAGTGAACCATGAGGAGTCTTGAAGTAGACATGGAAGAATCACAAACAGGGCCACTTCTAGAAACACATTTCTCTCCCATGCACATATGCATGTGCACACACACGCACACTTTATATGTGCACTTTTGTCTATGTCCTCTCCTGCTGCTTTTGTTGCTCTAGTCCTTGTCCTGTGCTAAAATTCAAGGCAGTTTACAACTAAAGTAATACAGAATATTTTCTCTCCTTTTAGATCCCCCTTCGGAACCTGAAATAAGTTGCAGCATCAGTGGTGATAACTTTGTGTTAAAATGTACAGCAGATTTCCAGAGGCCTCTGAATTATGCTTGGAAGTTCAGTAACAAGAAAGAAAGTCTTCAGACCCAAGAGATTTACATCCTTAAGGAGAATGTTGATAGTACCCAGAGAGTTACGTGCTTTGTTAAATTCTCACAAACAGAAAAGAGCTCTGAAATCTCTTTGGCTCAATGTTTTCCAGGTGAAAAAGGTAATGAAGGTGTCAGGTTATCAACACAGGTCTAAGAGGTTTGGTTGGGAAGCAGCATGGACTTTATAAAATTGCTCCTGACTTCTCAGGAAGTTGAATTTAAAGAGTAAAAAGCGTCAGAAGTGATTTGTTTGCTAAAAGTGTGTATAAGGTTGCTGAAAGGTATGAGCTTGACAGGTTGATCCCCCTGGAAATATACTTTTTTTGCAGGGATCTAACAGAATAAAGCTTTCAGCTGTGACTTGATATGGTTAATAATAAAGAGGGAGACCAATTTAGAAGATCTCTTCTGAACCTTCTAGCCTTGTGTAATTAATGCTAATGACTTTGCTCTTTGTACTGCTCTCCATGAACTGAAGTGAAACTATTCAGTTATTTCAAGTGAGTCATCTAGCAGCCATTAGATAAAATAACTTCTCATGTAACATGTGCACGAGTCAATGAGCATAATTCTTTTCCTTCCTTCCTTCACAAAGATATATAAAGTAGGAAAGAGAGTTTTCCTCCTATTGCTTATTGCTTTGGGACAACCTTCAGCTTGAGGCACTTTTTTTTTTTAATTTTCTTTTTAAACATAGAGTGGGAACATGTTTGGAACCATCTGGTTTGCAGGGTGTGTTAAGCAGTCCCTATCTGAACAAAATTTCCCATTTCTATGCAAATTTTCTTGGTCTACCAGTATAGAATTCTTCTTTCTTCACTGGAGTTATATATTAGATATCTACTAAAGTAATATATCACACAGTGGCTTTTTAACTAACCGATCTGTTTGTTTTTCAAAGGATACAGCGTTCAAAAAAGAAACAGAGGTGCTCTTATTGCAGTTCTTGTCGCCTTCATTGTAATTGTAATCCTGTTTCTCCTATTCAAATATGGTATGTATAGCATTTCCTAACTAAGCTTTACATATTTCAAGATTATGCTCATCTAAGGTTCTGTAGAATGCATGGAAGTTTCTGCCCATGGGATATTTTGTAAATACAGTAGTAGAAACAAGTACAATTTAGGCAAAGACTGCTAGATTTTAAGGAAATAATATACTGAACTCTCTTGCACTTGGATACTGGGCTCTGAGTATTGGGAAACGCTGCAGTTTGCACTCCCATGTTTCTCCCTCAGACTGGGTAGTTTCTACTTACCAAGTAGCTGTACCCTCTCCTGTTTCTGTCTGAGTTTTCACAGCCTTTTGTGAGAGCACCATAAAGCTGCCCTCAAGTTCAGATTTATTACTGGGACAGGCTTATAGCAGGGCCTGTCGAATACTGTATGCTGAGTCTAATCTGACAGCTTGGAGTGGCCAGCTCATAAATAGGGACTTCTGTGCCTCCTGTCAGCCTGTACTGCCATCATCTTGGAGTTCTGTATCCCTACACTGAATTCAAGTGGGGGTTTTTGGTAAATCTGACAGCTTATTCAGAGATGGTAATTGTAGGCTATCACTGCATATTGCTTGCTGCCATCTTTTTGGGTTAATGTGTCAATTTGTCTTCTGATTTGAAAAAGAGCTGCACACCATTTCTTCTCTTTGTGTTTGAGAGAGTCCCAGGCAGGAATACATTTATTCATGCTGGCATTTCTTCACCTTATGAGTGCTCTTGTTGGCTTCTGGGTGGAGTTACCACTTGTGGCTGCAGGGTGAAGAGTATGGGGGTTGCATCTCCTATGTGGGAAAGACTATTTGATGATATTCTGGAGAGAGGTTCTGATCAGTACATAAATAGATATATATTGCATGTGGACCTTATGCTTTCCTGCTCATTCTCTATTTTATTTTCTGTTGGCATGGAATCACAAAATAAACTAGGTGGGAAGACATCTGGAAGTTTCATCCAATTTGCTGCTCAAAGAATGACCAACTTCAAAGCTAGGTCAGGTTGCTTAGAGCCTTGTCCAGTCAAACTGAATAATTCCAGGAATGGAAATTCCTTGGCCTCTTTCAGCACCTGTTTGAGCACTGAATCACCCTTGTAGGGAAGGATATTTTTCTTATTTCTGTTAGGCATTGCCCTTTGGCAACTTGTAGTCATTGCTTCCTGTCCTTTTGTTATGTACTTGTGGGAGGGGTTTCCTTTGTTTTCTATAGTTATTCAGAGACTGCAATCAGCCCTAATCCCCTTGATTGCCTTCTTCTGGCATCTCCTGCCTCCTGTACATCTTGGTGAACGTTTACTGGGCTAGCTTCAGAAAGTTAGTGGTTTTTTCATGAATCAGGAGCCTAAAACTAAACAGAGTACTCAACATGTGATGTCACAAATACTGAATAGAGGGGAAGAGTTACTTGTGTCGATGGGATGACCATGCTTCTGCTAATACAGCCCAGTATTTGGTAGGCTTCTACTGCAAGGTCACATTTCTGACTAACGTTCAGCTTGTCAATGCACCAGGGCTTCCAGGTCCTTTTTTGCAGGGCCATTTTCTAGCCAGGCAGAGCCCAGCCTGTAATGCTCCATAGGGTTATTTCAAGAAGTTCAGGCCTTTGTTTGCCTTTGAACTTGACAATTTTTCTGCCACTACATTCCTCCAGGTTGCTGAAGCCCATTTCAGTGGCAACCCTGCCTTCCAGCATACCCCCTACTCCTCAGTTTGATGTCATCTGCAAACTTTCTGAGGTTGCCTTCTGTGCCCTTGCCCATTTTGGTGCTGTGAAACAATACTACATTTGGTATCAACACACAGAGAATATCACTCATAACTGGCCATCAGAATAAAAAAATTCAGTTATTTCCCTCCAAATAGTGAATGTTTGAACATGCTAGAAAATAAACTTGTTTTGCTAGGATAAACACTGCACAGGTATAATCAAACAGCAGGAGAGATTTACTGATTTGATTACAAGAGTCAGAGTCATAAATTGTTAAGCTCTACTTTAGATTTGATTAGATGTGTCCTGACTTACTGTTGCAGGAGGTTCATTCTGTTGATCTCTCACTGACTGTCTTTGCCCCAAAACAATATTTCATTCTTTGTTCTTCAAGTCAAATATTCAGTTGCATGTTCTCAGTGAATGGTTTTTTTTCGTTTGGTTTGGGGATGGGGTTGGGGATGGAGTGGATGGAGGCTGTCAATGGGTTTCCAAAGGCACAAAACTTTATTTCTGAGTAATTTCCTCAGGTGGTTTATTTGTTTGGGTGCAGGTAGAAATAAATGTAAAACAGGAAGACGTGCTCCGAAGAACAGTCCAGTGCATGGCTCAGGTAAGACTGTGTCACAAATGTGTGGAAATCAGACTGTTGCTTTCATTTGGTCTAGGGTTGTAAGTTTTTCTTTTGTGTCAGTATAGTCATTCATTGGTGAGGTAAAGGAGTAAGTTTTCTTATAGTGTAGTTATTTTTTCCAGGTCATTAATACATACTTTCTAAAATAAATAAATTTTATTATAGGAGAACAGCAGCAACTTTTCCCTGGGGATGGCCAAGGGCAGCATAACTCAGACAGAGGTAAGAAACCTGTGTCAGGCTATTGATGTTTCTGAACATCTGCTGTTGGTTGGAGCAGGGAGTCTGATCTGCTCTTTCCTTCTCTGCAGAGTCTAAGTTCTTGGATTGATTTTCAGTGTGTGCACATGTGGACTTAAAGTCTCAGTTGAGGTCCAAAACTGGATAATTGTAGGGACCTACACTTAGTAAATGTGTTAGTGGGGCTGGCAGAGTTTCTGACAGTGAATGGCCTGAGATTTCCCTGGTCAGCAGCTGTCTTTGGAGGTGAATTCCATTTCTGACAATGGAGGACCAGGGCTGCCCTCAGGATGAGGGCTGGAAAAGCACACACTATAAGGCAATCTGTCCGATGGAGAACTTACTCTTTACCAGTTTGGTTAGGGCTGATTTACATGCTGAAATGAGCTTAATATTTTTTCTATCTCTTTTAATCTTACTGTTTCTATAAAATTCTTTGAGAAATTTGGTTGATTATTTTTCTAGACTCAGTATTCATATCAAGTGCTTAGGGCTGGACATGAATGTAATACATTGCTTGTTCTCATGGAAATTTCTTGCTGGCCTGTCTTGGAAATTGGGCAGCTAACCTTTTTCTCTGTGCACTGAATTTGATTTGAAGTGCTGGTGGTTCCAGTGGGTGGGGGTTGATGTTATGCATGTAGCAGTATGTTTAATGATAACTGTTGAAGGTATTATCAAATCAGCCTGGCAGGAGTTTCCTGTTAGTTTATGTTGGTCATGTCTTGAAAATCCTTCCAAGGCCTGGTGATGACAGGCATGTTGCTAGTCTGGTATGCAGAACCATGGTCCTTGCTTTTGATATGTAGCTCTGGAGTGTGCTTGCATCCATTGGGCCAAGTTGCAATTGTCTCCTTTGCTTTCTCCAACCCATTGCAGTTGTTTCAGAAAAAAAATCTCTTAGCAGTACATTTTGATTCACTCTTACTCCATTTTACAAGCCTGTCTTCTCTTTGTAACTGCCAGGATAAGAGAAGTCAGTGGGAGGAACTTCTCACCTTTTTCCAATAGTTTCTAGGTCTGTTTCCCCATCTGTGATTTATGTGATGCTCCTTTGTGGGCAGTACAGATTTTCAGGGTGCCCTGCATTTCTGTCTTCCTCTCCAGATCTCCACTTGGACTTCTGCTGTCCATTCTAATTCCTGTTTAATACCTTTACTGATGATCTGGATGAGGGGATTGAGTGTAGTACCCTCAGTAAGTTCATGAACAACACTAGGTTGGGTGGGAGTGTTGATCTGCTAGAGGGTATGAAGGCCCTGCAGAGAGATCTGGACAAGCTAGATTGATGGGCTGAGGCCAACAGTATCAGGTTCAACAAGGCCAGGTGCTGGGTCGTGCACTACAAGAAAGACGTGGAGATGCTAGAGTGTGCCCAGAGAAGGGCAATGGAACTGGTGAAGAGTCTGGAGCACAAGTGTTGTGAGGACCAGCTGAGGGAGCTGGAAGTGTTTAGCCTGGAGAAAGGGAGGCTCAGGAGAGACCTTATCACTCTCTACAACACCCTGAAAGGAGGATGTAGCCTGGCGGGGGTTGGGCTCTTCACCCAGGCAGCTAGTGACAGGACAAGAGGGCATAGCCTCAAGTTGTGTCAGGGGAGGTTCAGGTTGAACATCTGGAAGAATTTCTTCATGGAAAGAGTTGTTAAGCATTAGAATGGGCTGCTCAGGGAAGTGGTGAAGTCACTGGCCCTGGAGGTGGCACTTAGTGCTATGGTGTTGACAGGGTGGTGATTGGTCAAAGGTTGGACTCGATTATCCTTGAGGTCTTTTCCAACCTAAATGATGCTGTGGTTCTGTAATTTGCATTGGGTTATTTTTGTTTGGGTTGGGGTTTTTGTTGAGGTTTTGTCTGGGGTTTTTTTTTACTACCTTTATTTGCAGCAAGATGGTTCTGTCCTCTGGCTTCTGGGTCTGTGTGTTGGGGTGTGGAAAACACTCTATATGGTGAGCAGCCAAGGAAGGGGACAACTCCTTTAGTCTGTACTCCTTTCACAATGGTGAATTTGGCCAATGTGTTCCAGCTGTAACATGTATCAGTCTTGATGCCAGGACCACTGTGGCCTGTTTTTAGCAATCAACCTCAGTAAGCCCCAAGGAAGTCATGCAGATTAGGAAGAGTAGGGGAAAACTCTTAAAAAGTTCTTTGTTTCCAGAGCAAATACTGTTTCAGTGGCGACTGTCCAAAGCTCCTGCCATTAGGTGCAGGCTCAAGTGCCCTGTTGGAGTGTTCCAGTGTTGAACTAACAGTGCCTTCCATGTGAGATACTCACTCTGGTGTCTTATATGAGCTGTTGAGTCAGCGTAAAGCTTGGAACAGAATGTTTCTTGAATTGCAAACTACTGTGACACTTTGCAATGATTTTCTGTGTGTTTACTTAAATTTCTTGAGTTGCTCTTTAATTTCTGAAGTTTCTTAATGTTTTTATAGTTTTTGAGGGTTAAAAAACATTATGAGATCCCTACTGATGGGCCTGGAAAAGATGCCACAGGTAGGGAGGTAGCACTATGGAAGCAAGGGTTTGGGTTTTTTTGTTGTTGTTGGGTTTGTTTGGTTTATTTTCCTCCTTTTATGCCTCCCCCCAGCATATCAAAGTCTTATGGGCTTTTTAGCAGGATTTTGAGTAAAAAATTACATTTCATATTTTCATACATTTTTCCAAAGCTGTGGTTCTAGGCCCTAGTTCAGAGATCACTGAAGTCTAGAGACTATGAATGAATCGGAAGGTGAAAAAAGGAGAAGATGGGTAGGAAAAAACCTGCAACTAGCTGCCCCAAACCCTCATTTTGGTACTGCACTTAAATTTGCTTTAGAATATCTCTATTAGAGTTTCTTTAAGGCTTGTAAAGAGCAAGGGTTTAACATCACAGTGTTAGTGCAACACATAGATGGAGTAAAAGCAGGTTTGGGTTCTCTTCTCAGCTGTCTCTGGCAAATCTGTGCAGCTTTATCACCTTAAGTAAACCTACTTCAGAAAGATTTTGCGAAGCTGTAGACATAACTATAGACAATGTCGGTCATGGTCTGGGACCATAAGTGGTTGCTGGAGGGAATCTGAAGTTAAAATTAATTGTGAGTCCTTAAAAAAGTGGTATAACTTACTGGTTCTCAGGAGTATCTGCTTAAAGTGTCATTTTATGACTGAGTAGCATATTTTGCAGACGACTGTGCTACTTCCATACACATTGCTAAGGAGGATTTCTGTTTTCTTGCAGATACATTTTTACAAGTTGATCTTTGTGAGAATGAAAAGCCCGAAGCAGGTAACAAGCAAGATGGTGCCTTAAAACAAGGGAACATGAAGGGGGGAAGTAATTTGCACATGGCCTTTTGCAGTCCATAACATATTGGCATGGTCTCAGTATAGAGTTTATCATTCTTTTGTTGGCCTAGAAGGACTTGTTGCCTTAGGAACAGTAAATGTTGGTGGGTAGATCACTAGGTGAGAAGCCAAAAAGACTTGGATCCTTGTTTTTGGAAAATAGCACAGAACAAATGCCTTCTTGGGGCTGTATCTTCCCTCTTGATATGATGAGAATGATGCTGCATGCTGTGTTGGCAAACCACTTACTTCCCCATCTGTGGAAGAAGAACTAAGCATGTATGAGAGAACTCCTTTTTATAGCAAATAAGCAAATTACCCTTTTGTCTAATGCTACCTTTTATTACATACAATAGAGTGCAAGGCTATTTGAATACGATGGCATCATGGGTTGGTGGTCTTTGCTTTCTGCTGGGAAAAAACCCTCAAACAGGACCTAAGACATTAAAATGCTGCACTTCAAAGCTTTGTATTGGTGGCAAATAGATCTGAGCCTCAGCGTACCTACTTAGAGATGGGATGCTTACAAGCTTGCAAAATTCTTATTTGGGAGATAAAGCAGGCTTCTCCTTAGAGAAGCACCATTTGTGGATGCAATATCTTCCACTTGCTTTATGCTCTAGGAAAGTCTTTTGAGTGCATTCGTCAAGCATTGAAGCAGAGCTCCACTTCTTTTTTCTTAGTACAGTCATTGTAATTTTCAACGAAATTCTGAGACCTGTATATTTTTCTAGAACTTCTTTTTACTCCAAAGGGCTAGTGAAATTGAACATTATTGTTCAAGTCAGAAAAAGAAGATGGATTTTTTTCCCTAGTCTCTTGCACTTGTGATTCATTCCCTCACTAACTCCCACCATTTTTCACAAGCAGCTGATAATAAACGGGTTGAAGAAAGCCGAAGTTTTTTTTTCTGATTAAGGAAAAAATCCCTAATTATGACAATAAGGAAAAGGAAACCCAGAAGCCTCTGGGCTTTGCTGCTTATTCTTCCTGCATGAATTGTAATGGGCATAGAACAGATTCCTTCATCTGAAGAAACAGGAATTGTGTAGCTGATGGTAAAGGCATGGTGTCCTGTGGGATTGTCTTATCACTTGTGTAACTATTTCCACATACATAGACATGGATACAGGAGAAGGAGGCTTATTTTATGTGTGTCTAAAACTAGAAAGGATGGAAACACAGTTCAGGCAAAATAGAATCAGGTCCATGGATAAAGGTTGTCAGTTTGGACACTAGAGGAAGAAAATAAAATACTTTATTTTGTTGCAGTGTAGAGTGGGAACATCAGGAAGGAGAGTTAGTGCACCTCTGTGCAGTACATCCTTCAGCACCTAAGTGACAGTCAGTCATTGCTGTATGGATGGGAAATAGTAGGCAAGGCTATGATGTTCTCTGAAATGAGTGTACCAAACAATTTTAAATGGGCCTTCTGCTGATAGCACACCAGTACATAACTATTGCAGAGGAGAAGGTGTGCTGCTGAGCCCTGGGCTGCACAGAACAACAACCTGTGCTGGTGAGGGGAAGAAGCAATGAAGTGTGCTCCTGAGGGACTGTAGCTATTCTCTGATCTCTTTTCAGACAGAGAATTGAACAAGGAGGATAGTGCCCTGAAGGACAAGGAGACAGCTAACGGTGGTGTAAATGAGGAAGGTAAGTGTGGAGGAGTCAGTGCTACTGACTGAGTAGGCAAACTGGCTAGGATCCCTTGGAGTTTAAGGCTCAGAGCAACTTCTGAATAATGCTTCATAATGGAAGTATTGGGTAGGATTGTGCCATGAATGCTGAAAACATGACTATTGTGCAGGAGTTTCAGGAGCAGAGTTAACCAGCTTTCAGATTGTAGTTAAGGACAGAGTGACTCCTGCATTTTTGCCTTCTTTACAAATAACCCCAGCAGAGCATATAGACTTGAAGGCTGTGTGATTTATGAGGCTAGGGATTATTTTTTCTAGGTAGAGAGCCACACCTGCTATAAAAAAATTGACCAGCTTTGGGACCTGCAGGTCTGTCCTCAGTTATCCAACAGATATGAAGAAGCTGCATTTTACCCAAGTTTTGACCCAATATAAATTTGGGTTGTATAAAACTTGGCAAAGTAGAAACTTAGATAAGTCCTTGGGCACAGGATACACTGATTTCTCCCATGACTGCACTATTTAAGCCACATGGTGGCCCACATGGTGCCCCATGGTCAACTCTACTCAGCACCTTTTAATGAGGAAAGTTCCCTTGAGGTCAAGCCTACAGCAGAGATCCTCAGAATTTTGTTCACATGCTCATTAGGGTCCATAGAAATGTTTCAGATCCTTGTACCTACCACACAGTTCAAATTACACCCAAACAACTGAAAGCTAGCCTGAGTATATCAGCAGCACATAAAGCTTCCTGCACAACTGTGGTTTGAGTTTGATGCCCAAAATCTGTAAAATCAGTTCTACAGCAGCAATCAAGCTCTGATCTCATTTGTTCTGGGATTAATGAGGAGCAACATCTCCTGCAGGCACTGCTTCCATAGGTTAAACCCAGTATAAGAAAAGAGATCAGGACCAAGGAATCAATCAGGATGTGTCTTGTGAGCACAAGTACTTAGCAGCAGCCTCTACTTACTCTGAGTTTCCCTTATCAATAAAAATCAGGTCTCAACATCAGCTTGTGCTGGGACTCAGGGATGTCAGAGGGCAGGTTCACTTCTTGGAATACAGGCAGCAATTGCTGGATTCAATTTGTACACACACCAGAAAGAACTGCATCTTGAGTGAGCTTCTACTCTCTGCTATTGAAAACTGCCTGGTTTTGCATTCACTGCAAGAGAAGATTGGACAGGAGTTTTTCACAGGAAAAAACATGTTTATTCTTCTCTAGTTATTGTGCAGGAGACATTTGTAGAGAGGGACACAGGGAATGGCACTGCATATCCTGTCACCAAAACCAGCAGGAAGTCAGGTCAATTTATTCTCCCAAATGTTTGACTTCACCTCCCTGTAAGAAAAAGACCCCAAAATCTACCCACCACAAAAACCAAACAACAGTACCAATAGTAGTAAAAAACCCTTCACTGCTGTGGTGGAGACATTAGATGGAGCAGTATAGTTTCTGGGAGCAATTTCAGCCAGTTCCTCTAGACAATAATTTTTTTGGCCATTACTTCTCACATTAATAACAAAACACAATGCTTTGTCCAAGCAGGAACACAAGCTACAGGTTTACCATAAGACACGTGACAAAGGCCATCTTTGTGTGGAGATTTTTTTAGTTCCCAACTTAGTAACTATTGCTAAGGAGCAGACAGTGTCGTCTTGATACATTTGTTGATGATGCAATAGAGAAGGACACTTGATACAGGAACAGTGACTTAAAAAAAATTTGAAAAAATATATAAAATGCTTCGCTTTGAGTTAGAGATTATTTTGGGCATCAGTTAGTGACTTTGAATGTTAAATAAAAAGTGCATATATATACACTACAAAAAGATACGACAAAGGCTTTTTCATTTTAAGTATTTTTTAAATAAATTATGAGCACATATTTACAGGCAGCAGTACAGGTAAGGTGTGTAGCCCTACCAAAAGATCCTCTCAAACACTTCCTGCAGTGCAGCTGCAAATAACAAGTGGTTGTGTGAGTGGAAGCAGATTCCTACATGGTATGTGCAGCAATCAGGAAAGATCTTAAGTTTCCTGTAGGCTCTGTACTTCCTACAACAGGACAAGGTACAGGCATAAGTTACCTGTGATCCCTCTCATACTGTTAGTAACTGTTACTTAAGTAGGAGGGGCTGGAGGTCTGAAATGAAGAATACAGGGTGGCAGGAATAACACAGACCTCAGAAGGAAAAAAAAATTGGCAGAAGGGAACATGAAGATAGAATGCACAAATGTACACAGCGTGGAAAGCAAACAGCAAGAATTACAGCTCTCCAGAGTTGACACAACTACAACATTGCTGTAGTGCCTGGGACATGGTGAGACAGCTTGCATGACTGGAGCACAGCAGTGGATGCCTAGAAGCTCTACAGGAAAGTCATGGAGGAAGGAAGGGAAAAGAAGCTGCTCTCTCTGTAAAAGTGGCTGAAATATATGGAGCTCTGACACAGAAGAGGTGGCAGACTGGGTGAGAGTTGTGAGTGACCATCCTAGGAAAGATCAGTAGGCCATGGTTGGAGCATGCTAGAGCCCACCAGATCAGGGTAAGGAAGGAGGTAAAGGCTTCTCTAAAAATCTTGAAGCAGTCTCTGACACACAGACTCTTGCACACAGAGGGGAACTTCAGATATCTGCTGGAAAGGCAACACAATTCATAGAATCATAGAATCAACCAGGCTGGAAATTCAAGCAGTCAGGAAGATTTCTGGACAGTGTCAGAGACAACTTCTTCACACAGCTTACCTGATATCCCAGCAAGGGCTGATGTGTGCCATTATCTGATGCTCACTGACAGAGAAGGACTGGGTGGGGATGTGGTCCCAAATGGCTGCCCTGGCTATAGTGACCAAGAAACAGCTGCAGATACTGATAGGAGTGGGGAAGGTAAAGACCTGAATACATGTCATGTGTTTTTGGAGAGTAGATTTCCACTTATTCAGGAAAACAATAAGCAGGATCTCATGAGAGAGAGTTCTGAAGAGGAAAGGAGCTCAATGGAGCCATCAGGCTTTTAAGAAGGACTTTCTCCAAGCATAAGCACATGCCATGCTGATTGTTAGGAAAACAGG